ACTGGGGGATAGTAGCAGTCTTTCTGCCACAGGATGGAGCTCAGTGCAGGCTGCAAAGCATTCCTAGGAAGCTGGATGAATACTCGAGCATCTTTCTGTCACTCATGTCCATATTGCTGTTTCTTGATTGTTACCAGCGCCCATGCTGGTGGCTCAAAAACCTCATTTAGCTGGGTCTGAATCCCATTGCAGAGCCTGCACTATCAATATGCTTCCAGGTAGATAAAGTGCAAAGTGAGTGAAATAAAATCATATAGGTGAAGGTCTTGATCATGTCTGAAGAAGTACTACACAAAAAGGAGGAAAAGGGGCCAGCTTTTGTAAAAAGGGAGCATGTGAACTCTGTGGTGTCAATTCTGCCCCACTTACTCTGTTCACCACCTCTACAAAGAGTTTCTCAAGCAGAAGTGTATTTTTAACATTGCTGAAAAGCATTTCGAAGTTCAAGCTCCTTCTGCCCTTGATAAATGGGATGCAAATGTCACCTAAGAGGTTAAACAGCACAGGGAGGGGTTTTGATTTTCTCTTTTTGATCCAAGTGTGGCCAAATAAATCTGTATTAATGGGGCTGATCTTTCTGACTGTGACATCTCAGTGAATATGATTTATATGGTTTAGTGTGAGGTGTCCCTGCCCATGGCAGGGGGGTTGGAACTGGATGATCTTAAGGTCCTTTCCAACCCTAACTATTCTATGATTCTATAATATAAATGTTTAACAAGAGACATCATCGGAGTTCTCCCTTCTGCATGAGCACAATGCACAACCAGCAACTGCTTTACTGAAGGAGTTAAAGTTTCCTGCAATAATGCAACAACCCACTCTAGCCAACAAACAGCAGCCACATTCTGTGGCAGTTTCCCCACAGCCTTCAATCTCGGGGGGGGGGGGAAGTCTTGATTTATTATATAGCATTTGGACAGTTGCGAAAGAAAATTTGCCAAAGATCAGAATAATCGACTCTTTCACCCAAGCAGGTTTTTTATGGAAGAAAAAAGCACAGAATGGGTCTGAGCAAAATAAATAAAAATTCCACGCTTTTAACCAACAGAACCTTTTGCGTCATTCAGAAATATTTACAGACATCCAGAATCTTTTATCATCAAAAAGACACTCTGCCCTTTAAAATTACAACTTCTTCTTAGATTCGTGTTTACTGATGGCCTTTAAACTAGTGGGTATCCCTAACCTGTGGCATCCCTTCATGCAGTGTTTGTCAAATGTAGGAATTTTTAAAGCTGTGCCTTGCTATTTTTTCCCTTCCCTTGAAGCATCTCTCTTGCTAAGGCATAACCTGTGAATTTTAATGATAGCAGAACACCGTCTACTAGCAGCATTCATCACATGAGTCACTCATGTCTCAAACACCGATCTTCACCAATTGAGATGGTCACTAATGCCAGTATTACCCTGGAAAGGGCTAGCTGGTTTAATACAATTAAATGCAGCCAGAAGGGTTGGAGGTAGATGATCTTAAGGTCCTTTCCAACCCCAACCATTCTATGATTCAATGAAATACAGCTGGGAAGAGGGCTACAAATAGAAATGTATATTAGGCATTCATAATATACAAGTATACATAGAGAAGCTTCCCTCAGAGCCCTGTAAAGGTATTAGTGCAGCATCCCTGTTCCACTTGCCTATTTAATTATAATTAGCACACAATGACAGTCACTGAACTCCCCTGCACACGGCGTTGCGTACCTTGGACAAAAAAGAAAGGAGAAAAGAAGTTGCTTTCAAGTGCAATCCAACAAAACAGCTCCTTGGCTAAATGGTGCTTTTAATAAAGATGTTTCCAGAGTTTGTTTATTTATCAAAAACCAGTGTTTCTCTCGGGTGTTTTGATTTTTCTTTTTTCATTTCTCTGCACAAGAAGGAAGGGAAAAAAGGGCTTTACTAAGCAAGGCTTTCAGTAAGACACCAGATGATGGATAGTCAAACACAGAGTCTCCTGTAAACACAGAGGGAACCAAAAGGTATGAACTGACTCATAATTGTGTCAACACAGGTCGCAGACCCTTGGTTTATTTCAGCCTTCCTGTTTTTCACAGATTTCTTTTCACACTACACTTATTTTGTCAAGACACAGACTCTTTTCAGTACACCTTAGTGGGGTGTAAAAGCACACACATTTTTACACCAAAATGTGGGCATCTACACACACATGTAGACTGTACTGCCACAATTACAACAGCAGCATTTTCCAGCCATGGCTTATGGCTGTATTAAACTAAGCCGTGCCTTTCTTCGCAGCAGTCAAATCAAAAGGTCCATCCCATCCCATCCCATCCCATCCCATCCCATCCCATCCCATCCCATCCCATCCCATCCCATCCCATCCCTGCCTCCAGTTTTTTCCACAGAGGCTCTTGGGAAGCATCCAGAAAAGGGGAGTGCAACAAAACCCCAACAGCCTCATCCTCCAGTCCATGCAACCCTCTAAGACTTGGTGTGATTTCTTACTTAACCAAAGTGGCAAGACTGTGTCTGACCAAAAGTGCTGGGAGGAGGACACATGGCAAAGAGGTCTGTGATGAGCAGAACCTACTGGTATTTGTCTTGATCTCTAAACACACTGAATGGAGTCTGTAGCTTTTTCACTGGATAGAGTTGCTCTTTGCCCAGAGAAGCTGTGGCTGCCCTGTCCCTGGCAGTGTTCAAGGCCAGGTTGGACACAGGGGCTTGGAGCAAGCTGCTCTAGTGGAAGGTGTCCCTGCCTGTGGCAGGGGTTGGAACTGGATGAGCTTTAAGGTCCCTTCCAACACAAACCAGTCTGGGATTCTGTGGTTCTCTGCTGGTTGCCTATTTCCCTAAAGACTGGAGGAAAAAACCCTCTCTGGGGTCTCTATTTCATTATTAGATTCAACTGGCACTGACCAGGGGTTAAGAACTGTTTAGGGTAGGGACTGATGGGCGGACACACCAAGCAGTTGGAACCCCTGCAAGCCAGAAAGGAGTTCAACTCATGGTTCAAGAAAGACGTTTCAGAACATTCCCTCACAAAATCACCTGTAGTCCTGAGATCCTTCTAAAGGACTGGCAGAAGATAACAAATGAAGATGGGTTAAAGCCAAGGGAGGTGTTCTTCCTTGACAGAGACAGTAAAAGAAGTGGTTTCAGGCCAGAACGCAATGACCAGTACTTGTTCCTGGATGGCGATGAGCCACGAGCCACACAGAGTCCAGTGCAATAGATCTGCATGTACAAAAGATCCATCCTGAGCACCTTGGGTCAACCACACATGTGCAAACAACTTAATGCCATAGACCCAGTGCATCTGGTTCTTCCAAGATGGGTCAGATGAGCAAAGAGTTGTTTATAAACTGCAACTCTTTGTCTGGGATGTTTCAGCCTTAGCTAGATTAACTGAAAAATGGCAGAGGCAGAAAGGCCAGATGAGCTTCCTCAGGCTGAGCACTGCCTCATTCCATGAGGAATCACATCCAGCTCAGCAGGAAAACTCCTCAGTCACACAACAAGGATTTGGACCTGATTTCCCAGCGTGAGCAAGCCAGTTGCTAAAATTCCCAGCCAACAGGTAATCCTTGCAATGAAGCCAAATCCACCAAGAGCATCAGAAGGGCTCTGTCACTTCACCGTTTTGCTCACAAAAAGAAATGCAAAACAAATTACATCGAGGACAAAGCTGACACTAAAACAAACCCAGAAACAGCATTTCAGAATCAGAAATCACTGCCAGACTTAATTTTTCAAAGACTACTCATTTAGGATATTATACCCTTGCAAAGAGCCAAGTGTTTCATCTGGTCCTGTTGTCCCCTGTAAGAACCAAGGTTCATGGAACAACAGAGAGAATTCCCTAAGCAAATTACAATATATTAAGTCCAATCTGCTTCCAGCAGTTTCTATACCTTCAGAAATCATGCCAGGGTTTGTGTGTTGTTGGACGGCTATAAACTGGAAAAACCTCTGCTCCTGCCTCATTTCTTTACCTTTTAGCTCTACAGCAGTAGACAAGGGAAGCAAAATTTACTGAAGGAGACCATGAAAAGAGCTTCAAAACGTTCCACATATTTTCCCTGCATAAACACACCATGAATTTCAAATGTAAATTGTGCCAGGGCACTGTCACTCAAGCCCCAGGAGCTCACTCAAGTTAGACAAATTATGCTGCCTGTTATCTCAGTTGTTACGGTTTCCTGCCTTTCATTCATTCGTTCATTGCCAGTGGCTGGAGCCTCAGTTGCTGAAGTCAACCTCTGGTAACACTGGGTTATCCAGTGGAGGATGCTCAAGGAGATAGCTGCTAGCCTTGCTTGCCAAGGCAGCAGTCAACAATTTGGCAGGTATGAGCAGGAGAAATGCTGTGTTATGGAAATGGCCACTGCAAGCTTCCTCCCAAATCCGCAGTGTTTGGCTCACATTGATGAAATAAGTTAATAAATTTTCTTGTCTGTCGCATAAAACACTACATAAAGTTGTGTTGTGGTTGTGGTTGGAATAGAGGATAGCACTGCTGAGCAAACCTGCCTGGCAGAGAGCAGCGGCTGTTGCTTCTAACATATCCAGACTGAAATTAGTAATAACTTTCAACTACATCATCAATCTCTCTGCTTTCACCAAGTCTCAATTCCTCCCCGATAAAGAGTTATTTACTACAAGAGAATGCAGGATGTGATGGGGGGATTTGTTTCTTAACGTCCCTTTACAGCCACATTAGTCCTGAGTCCACTGAGTCAAAGCACCTCCCCATAGGCAGGTACCACCTAAATGTAAAGTCTCTTTGGCTTGTAGATCCTGTGCATGCAAAGGGCCTCCAAGCCTCACAAGTGGATTTTACCCATCTCTACTGCCTGATGCACAGTGACTTGTTAGGAACCAGAAATACTGAGTTTGCATGGCAGCATCGTGGGATGTACATGCATTACATGCCCATTTCTCAGCTGATTCCATTTAGTGATGAGCACCCTAAATGACGTTCTGTTGATAGCATGTTTTATTTATGCAATACTTCCAAAGAAGGGAAAAGCTCTTACCTATTGTTCTTCGGAGATCTTCACACTGGCTAATGTGAGGGAATTTCAAGATTTCCTTCCACTTTTTGCTTTTGCCTTTGCGTTTCCCTCCACCCCCTGCAGAGAAAGAAATATCAGATTAGGTTGCTTTGGGTGCACAGCCCCATCCAGAGTTTACCAGCCCAGTCACAGTTCTTATGGATATCATTAATAATTAAAGCTGAAACACTGTGGGTAGGTACATGGATCACATCTGAGCTTGCCTTGCCTACAAGAGACTGAGGAGACAGTATTTGGCAGATCAGATTGCTAAAAGTTGGGAGTTCAGGCTTGTGGCCCTCCAGGTCCAGTTCAGATGACAATGCTGAACTAAGCAGCGTGAGCATCATCTCTGCCCCAAGTGACAGCCATTTCACACGAGTCAAATCACCTTGTAAAATTACAGCTCGCATCTTTTCAACCTGGATCTCTCCCCTCTGGTTTTGGGATGAGACCCTGTCCCATCCCAAGGAAGTGCTGGAAACTGAAGACCAAAATTCAACTCTCACCAACCTCCCCTCACATTACATGTACTACCAACATGGCATTACTGCTGGTGCTGCGCACTGGTCACTGCTGCTTCCACAGGAGAACAACAGTGGGATAAAATCAATATAGTCCTCATGGGGAGAAGATCTCTTTGGTTCTTTTCTCCCCTTCTTGTCTTCCCTGACAGCTGGACTGTCCTCAAGAGGAAAGACCTAGCTGAAGAAGGTCCGAGACCCTCAACCTTTCCATGCTGATGAATTCCCCTCAACCATATCCCTTCATAAGCACCTTGCTGCCTGCACCACTGGCATCTCTGGGTGCTTACATCTGAGCTTGCAAGTAGGGTGCCTGCTGCATGGGCTCTGAGTTGGCATTTCCAGCATATTTCGCTCCTTGCTGGGATCACTAGGTGACACACTGCGTGTGGGGTTAAGCTTCCTCAGCCCAAGCAAGCCTAATGCAGGCTGACATGCTGTGTGTGCTCTTACCCCTTGTCTGCTAGATGGGCACTCAGACCTGAAGCAGCTCAGCCCAAGAGGACATTTTTAGGCTTTTATTGTCTTTCTTTGTTTTACTGTCATCAGGCATTTTTTACTCCAGTCTCACCCGGGTTTCTCTTTCATGCCCTCACATTCTTTACGCTGCCCCATCAGCATTACCACAGAGGGCAGGAGGTGTGGTGTGATGCTAGGGGTTCCATTCCCATCTCAGTTTTGTGCCTGTCCTGCTTGGAGAGGCTGTGCAGCCACCAGAGAGGGAGCATCCCTGTGGACATGGAAGCCCAGATGCAGACTGAGATTCTCTGACTCGCTGTATTTACTGCAGTTCAGTCCCTGCACACAAAATGTGATTCACTGGAGTCTGTTTTACATGCACTGGCACGTTGAGTGACTAATTCAGAGCTGAGTTAATTCTGTAGAGGGGCTGGTAGAGTCACAACTGCAGATTGAGGGTGTGCTGGGTACTACTTGATATTGCAGGCTAAATTAGGAGAGCACTGACTCAAAAGGTAGCAGACCATTACAGAGAAAATATGAGCCTGGATAAAGAATGTGAAGTATTTCTCTCTGTGGGGTGCTGCTGCTCACACAGCGTAACCTCTGGTGCAGGAGCGCTCCTTCTGCATCTCACCTTTTATTCCTTTGCTTTTAGTGGCCAATGGTTTGGCCATTGCAGAGCTTGCCTTGAATTACAGTCCTTACTGACAAGATCTTACCGTATGCCTACATTATGCAATGTGGAGCAGAGATATTTCCAGTAGCCATAAAGGAACTAGCTTGTTTAGACTACCAGGTGCATAGTTATACTGCCCTTTCCTGGAACTGGCCTGCAGCAAAGCATGGAGAGATGTGAAGCTGTGACTGTCTCCACACTAGGCAGTATCATGCAACACAGATGGACCCTTTAGGTCTCTATATATAGATATTCTGCTTCAATCTCCCCTCTTCAGTGCATCCCAACCACTGCAGCTAAAGTAATTTCCTCTCCCATCCCTCTAGCCCCTGTATCTTGGTCTCATCCAGCGTACGATGCCTAGTCTTGCATGCTGAAGGTCTTAGGTATACCACAAGGTGCATTTTCTGGGCTGGGTGAGCACTGTGCTCATCTGTTCACCAACTCCCAAAGGATTCAGCAACCCAAAGGGTCCTCATTGGCTTTCATCTCCCTGAAAGCGTGCTCCATCAATCCTGCACAACTGCTCCTGTCTGCCACCTCCACTTGCCCCTCTTCTCCTTCTCTTCCAGTGGCACCTTCCTTTGTGCTCCAGCCCTCATGCCTCATCACACCATACCGTCACTTCTCTGCACCCTCCCTTCACAAACTCCTCTGGGGAATGATCCTTCCTCCTGGAATTCTCACTTCCTGTCTTCTCCAGTCATTCTCTTTGGCTGCATTTTCTTCCCTGAACTACTGCTTCATGTTTTCCCTCACACTGATTTGTCTTTGAGGAGTTCTAAGTCTTGATGTCAAACCGCCATGGGAATTAACTGAATTAAGCATGTATTTGTTAGCACTGGGAGAGGGATGGGAAGGAAGAAGAGGACAAGGAGGGAAGGAAGCTGCTGGGCAGGCTCCTGGTCAGAGCTGGATTATCCTTCTTTGACAGCCTCAGGGTTTGAAGGTAGATTTCTGGATCCCTTCCTCAGGCTGCCAGCTCCCATTGCAGCTCATCCCACTCCCATGTACAAACACTTCCCTCTCCCACTGCAGAGACCCACTCTGCTCTTACCAAGGGCAAACAGACTACGATGCTGTAAGGGAGCAGGCAGGAGCTCTCTGTTTAAGGTATGAGCAGTCATGGAGGCAGCACATGAAGCTGCCTGGGCAGTGCTTCTTGCTAGAACAATGCTTCCAATCATTTCTGGACACAGGAAGCAGTGTAAGCCAGATAAAAGCATCCTTCAGGGCTCATCTGCTCAGCACTGGTCCATCTTCACCCAGAGAAGGTCTTCCCTCTGGGCTGAAGCACCAGAGATTTCAGAGCACAACTGCTTCTCCAGCCACCTGTACAGAAGCCCTCACAAAACAGTTGCATCTTCAGCAGCACCAGGCTGCAGAGAGCACTGCAAAATAGCCCTTTGCTCTAAATGGCTGCTCTGAGATTTGTGCAGCGACAAAATGATTCTGCTCAGTTTGTAAAACCCGGCTGATGTAAAACACTTCCTGACATATTTATATCGGATGATGTATTTCCGACTTTAAATTTCCATCAAAACTGGAGGAGGGCTCTGCCGTGCCCTGTTACAACCATGATCGATACAGCCAGCGTGTTCTCTCCTCTTTTGTGGCCATCCTCCAAAAATAAGCAGCCTTGCCTGATGAATCATTTGCTCTTAGCTGAGCGTGAAGTAGCGTTACTGTTTTGCCTGTGACGTCTTTATGTTAAAGATTCTGATCAAGTGCTTTAATCGACCTGACCTTTCCGCTCTCGGCTTCTCTCGTGGAGCCAGCAGTGTTTGCTGGCTCCAAACGTTAATTCTAGGGGGTTTGAAGGACATAATGCAGCAAGACAGCTGAGACAGGATAAATTGCCTAGGAGAGCTAAAAGCTAAAGGGGAAGGTTTCTCTGAATAGGTCAGTAATTGTGCAGGTTGCAAAGGGAAGCTTTAACACATTGCCTTGATTGCACTGTCTATTCTGGACAAGAGGATTTGCAATCTTCAAGGCAGCTTCTCAGGGCAAGGCTGGACAGATGTGCCATATTTAGATGTGGGTTCCACCAGTGGATCTGACTGCTTTAAAGTCTTGGTTTGCTGATGACAGCACAAGGTGAGCTCCCAGCAACAGCATGAAATCTCAGCTCCACTCCCTTTCATGCACTTAACTCAGCGTTTACGCACAGGATTGAAGCTAATTCTCTGACATGTCAACCAGTCCTACAGGAAACAAAAAGCATTTGCTTGACATCCTACCTACTGAAAAATACATGGCGTTTATCACGGCATCTTGTGATGTTGGATGGCAAATCTAGCTCTGATCTCTGCTGGCAAGGACAGAGACATTACCAGAGGCACACATGTAAAACATCTGCAAGCAGAACCTACCCTTAGCCTAAAGTGCCTACTTTTTGTGCTTCTGTTATGCAAGATATGTTTACTCTGTTAATACCAAGAGGAGGTAGAAGAATATCTTCACATCAATAAGCCAGTGAGATATTAAGTGTCTTGTCCAAAATGACATGAGAACTCAGACACAGAACAAGGAGCTGAAGCCAAGGCCTTCAGCCACTAATCCTGCTAACAACAGGATCAAGCCATGCACCAGCTCAGTTGATCAAAGGTATTCCATAGCCAGAGATAAACATAATGATGGATGAATTCATTCCAGCATCATGCCTGTAGCATGTTCCATTTGTGCCTCATGCTACCACATCCAAGATGGCTTTTAAGCACGGCTCAGCTGGCTTCGTATTTTTGCTGTCTTCTTGACCAAGCTGATAACCCTGCATCAGACCCCATGCAGTCAGGCTTGGCTAAGCCAAGATGGGCAAACATTTCATTGCCTTCAACTGTATTATCTGCGATCTTGTTAATCCACAATTTAGGTAAACTGTCTACAGATCGCTGAAGGATGACTACAGTTTGTATCTTCCATTTCACAACAGTAGCCAGGCTCTTATCCAAGTCCTTCCCAACAGTACAAAGCTGTGTACATTCTGATTGCAAGGCCTTGATTACATTGAAAGCATTGAAAGAAATATTACTAGTCCAAAAATCAACATTATTCTGCTCAAAAGAAGTTTACATTTCTTCTCTTTCTCTTGCCAGCCTTCCTTTGCTCACTCTCTCCCATCAAAACGCATTTAGCTATACGATATATATAACATTGCCATATTAAACAAATGGCCTGTCTAGCACAGGACAGGCCTCAGGCAGCTTCAGAGGAAGATCTTAGAAAGCTGTTTCTATAGTATTTGGAAAGCAGGAACTTTCTTCCATATCCTATCCATTAGATATGGGTAACTAAACATGAAAGTACATTGCTTCCAAAATTTCTTTTTCAGAAGCTATGCTACTTAAATTCAGGCTGTTCTTATGCTCCTGGTAAATGCCCTGGACTGTTGAATGCCCTTTTGCCTCATGTGGGTG